TGTGGTGGTAAGGGGTTAAGGCTTACATTCAGACAGGAGGGACAGAACATTATCAAGTGAATGGATACACAAGGAGTTCAAATAATTCCAGACAAGTCAAAATGGAGCGGTGCACTAACACAGCCCTATTGAAATATGGCCTGCAGACTGGACCCTGCCTGCAAACTGTTTATTACCAGTCTGTGATGAGATAAATACAGAAATCGAGAGCCAGGGTATAGAAATTTCTATTGTTTGCTCAATCTGATAATAAAAAAATCAGGGCTTGAAATCTGTGAGTCTTAAAAAAATTTTCTCTGTTTTGCAATCTTTTTTTCATTATTGCTATCCTCTCCCCCATCCTTTTTGACATTTCCTCCCTACTCATCTGTCCCCAATGACATTTTAATATTACAGATACACCGTATATATCTGTTTAAGTTCTTAACACAAAAAGAGTGAGATGCTTTTGCCATCACCCCCCCAACTCCCTCACTGAACCATTTTTTGCCCTGTTTGGGTGACACTGTCCCCACTGAAAGTGCATGTTCTGGTGATTCGTTTTTATTGCACTTTACACTAACTTGAAGAAAAGACCCTGGTCTTTCACCACAGTGAATATATGAAGTACTGGGTGATACAGCACTTGGTGGTGGGCCTAGGGGCCAAATAAAAGACACTCCCAGCACTGCAGGCTGTTATGTATAGTGACCTGTTTAATGTTGCTGTCCCCTCTCCCAGGCAGATACTGTTATTTTATTTACAGAAACTCAGTGTTGGAAAAGTTCTGTGGCTTGCCCAACAGCTGCTACTCAGCATCTACCAGACTGGCCGTTAAGAAACTATGGAAAACAAGTGCTGGGGAGGAAGCCTCACATGTTGCTGGTGGGACTATAAAATGGTACAGCCATTATGGAAAACAGTTTGCTGAGGCCCCACAAAGTTCAACAGGGCATTTGCACAGGATCCAGCAGTTCCACTTCAGTGTATATGCCAATGAAGTGAAAACAGGTGTTCAAACACTTATACACAAGTGTTCACATCACTATTCACAACAACCAAAAGATGGAACAACCCAAATGTCCAATTTATCAGTGAATTGATAAACAAAAGGTGGTATAGCCATACAATGGAGTATTATTCAGCTGTAAAAAGGGATGAAGTTCTAATACATGCTGTGTGGATAACTCTCAAAAACATTATGCTAAGTGAAAGAAGCCAGACACCAAAGGTCACATATTATATCATTCCATTTATATGAATTAACTTTGGCATTTACATATCAGTTTTAGAATAAGCTCATCAATTTCTATTTGTCAGAAGGAAGTGGCACCGCATTTTTCAAGTGTGTTAACACAGAATTCTATATCCAGGGAAACTATCCTTCAGGAATGAAGGGAAAATCAAGACATTCTCAAGTGAAGGAAAACTAAGAAAATGTGCTGCAGCAGATCTGTGCTGAAGGAACAGGTAGTGAAAGTTCTTGAAACAGAAAACTTAAGAACAGAAGATATGATCTTGACACATCAGGAAAGAAGAAAGAAAAAGGAAAAGAACAAAAATATGGGTAAATAAGTCTCCTCTCTTTTGTGGTTATGCTATTAAAGCAACAGACAAGATTTTTAACAATTGGCTAGCATGATTTTAGGTATTATTTTTTCATATGCATTTTATAATTATATAAAATATTGAAATGGTTCCAAAGTATAATCTACAAAACAAACTATATCCCTATCCAAGGGGGAGGGGAGGGTGCTGGGCTCTAGGAAGGCAGGGGAGAAGTAAGCTATCAATCAGTGCCCTCACGGGCAGCTCAGGAGGCACA